AAATAAAATAAATCATATATATATTTGAAGTTTTATTTTTATAAAAATCGGGCGTTACTTTTTGCGGCGACTGTACGTATCTCGATCTGCACATCAAATTAACAATTACATACATACATACCGTTACCGTTACGCCCAATTTGGTTTTAATCTATATACGGAAAAATCTATGCTCATTTTGCAAAAACGAGGTGTGTTTTTTTTACTACGTATCTCTCAAGCTATCTTATATTTGGCATGAAAACAATGGAATTTTTTTCGCCTCTTATAAAGAAACTTTCTGTATCTTCAATCTAGCGTAATGCAGAATCTCGCCTAAGAAATCAAACAATTACACAATTACTTGTGTTCTATTTCGGCCTTTAATCCGAAAAACAAGATTTTTGCACCTACGTAATCTCCTCTTACAACGGAAATTACTAAATGATGCATGAAAGGTTTTCAATCTACCATAATGTAGAAACTTAGTTAGGAAACTAAACAAAGAATTGATATAAGTTGCGCTCCTAACGCTAACGCAGAAACTCATTAACTAATAAACGTATATAGCTTTTTGTATGTCGGAAAAAGTATTTAAGAGTTGTACGTTCCAGGAAAAAAAATTTTGACTACTGAAGCTCACTCTTCGCACATATTGTAATTTGATAAATTGTCCTATTATTATACACATTATTGCCCCCTCTCTCAAATAATGACACGAAAAAATAGCCGAACGGCTATTCAAATTGGTGAAAGTGATGACAATATTTTAGATAAAAACGAAAAGTTATGTTCATGTGTTATCGCACAAAGCCCTGATGGAAAGCTATTGGTTAAATATAAAAAAAGTGAGTGGATTTTTAAAATTTATGTTAATTAAATAGTGTCCTATTTTATGTTAATATACAATTATTGATATCCTTAAGCAAGTGGAAAGTTAGTCTTTTGGTCGATAAATGACTCCGGTGCTATTTCAATGCAAGATGAAATCGAAATTCCTTTACTTGAGCCTAATAGTCAAAATAATGATGGATCCCACGAATATTCATTGGCTATTTCAAACACCGTCGATAATACAACATACGTTCTACTTTCATACTTTGAAAAAAGTAAAATTCTTTACGATTATGAGTTTAATAAAAGGACAGTATCGCAAATTAAATTCAATTCAGCATCAACTCCCGAAGCTCAACTATTCGAAGATATAGAAAGCAATAAAACATATTGTATAGCAATAAAAAACTTTGAATCTAAAAAAGCTTCTGCTTCTCTTCAATTCTCTGGTGTAGTGAAGATCTTTCAAAACTTGGATACCGTTATATTAAATAGCAATGGATTTATTCGCTTCAATCTTAAAGAACTTGAGAATACCACCGGGTTGTTTCAAAGATTTATCTCTGGTGACCTTTTTCGTTTCAATCTAAAAAATCATAAAAATCCAGATCACATCGTCAAAGGATTTCTTCAAAGATTAGATACTGGCGTATTTATTCGTTCTAATCTCGAAAACCTTTCGTTAAAATCCAATGAATTCTATATCTATCCGTTACCATTAGAAATGGATATAAAATATATAAAACATGAAAAGGATCCGGATCAAGTTATCAGAAGA